GAGGCTGAAATCTGACACATCACTGATCTCAAACTCGGCAATCTCAGACCTTGTGCTCTCTCCTCTCTTGCCTGCAGTCTCTGCTTCTCGCTGCTCCCGAGCTATTGGCACTGCTCACATCCCTGCTTCCCCAGAAAGCATAAAGCTTCTACACCTGATCACAGTGCTGGAGTGACAGCAGCCCCTCCTACACAGAACAAGCTTTCTTTCAGGGGTTCTCAGCAAACACTTCTTCCCCCGCTCCAGGACCAGGCATTTCATGTCCGTGGTACGTCTCCTCTCTGATAAATCACAGATCTACAGTTGCAGCACAGGGCTCTGAGTTCTGCTCTAACATCATTAGTAATTCCTGTTTGTTGCAAACACACATCTAGCAGACACTTTTGTCTCTGCACATGCAACTCAGGAGTCTACTCTTTCAACATTGGTATCGGAAAGCAAATGTCTGCTTGGAGAATCTGATACTTCAAAACCTCAGTTTCCTTGGCAAAATGAAGGGATGTCAACATTTGGTACAAGAAAGCATCTCATGGAAGCTACAGACATTCAAGCCTGTCAAATGCTCTGCTGTTTCCATCCTTCCTGTTTCTCCTCTTCCCTTAGTGGGCTGATATCAACAGAACTTCACAGATCTTTCCATCTAGTAACAATAACCACTTACTCACCATAAGCCCTTTTACAATAAACTCCATGCCAGAAATTTTTCTGTCTCTCCAGGTTGTACATCACCAAACCAAGGCAATGTCAAAAGATTTTCTCAGACACCAGACCAGAATCCCTGTAAGCCAAAACACAAGCCTAGTCCTGTGCTGAGGCTCCACAAACTGTCCATAAATCACATCAAGGCAGTGCCAGCAGAGCAAGGTTCCCCTTCTGGTTTCTCTGTGTGCCACAGGGCTGTCTCTGTCACTGCTGCTCACAATGGTGCTTCTTCACTATGCAATCTGACCCTGAAAAGCAATAATTTGAGACCATAATTTTCTTCAGAGGGCCTTTTTCAAATAACCCCAGAATGACAAAACCAAGCTCCTTAAAGATGCAGCAAAATCACTTCATTACTGTTTCATGCATTTTATTTTAAAGGCCTATTAAGAACCCATTCTTTCTGGTAGAATGCTATTTTCATCTCCACTTTTCTTTTTTTTTCCCTTTGGGAGCTTGAATATAAGATTTTCCTATCTCTGCCTTTTTTTTCTTGTCTGTTTCTATTTGATCAATGATAATTCTTTTTTTCCTATGCTTCTAAGAGAGTTGACATTAAAATGTCTAATTCCTATTCTCTTTCTGTTGTATTTGTGCATCAGAGTCATTCACAATGATGTCAGCTCAGCTCTGGGCATTGTCTCTGCTAGTTCAATTCCAGCTGTATTGTTGGAGCTAGCAGGACATTAGCATTCACTTGATTGATTTAACATATCCAGAGAATAAGAGGGGTTTTGCATTCAGCTATACACATGAAAAACTGAAGAAATTATAAAGCAATCCAAAGTTGGTGAGTTCTTTTGGAGTCAAATGTGTTTTGCTTCTCACATATCTTCCTGTGCTTGAGGGCACTATGTAAATAACAAGCATTTCAATGCCAAGCCCTTCCCTGACAGTGCTCATGGAAGAAAGAGGAAAGTGATTTAAAATTATTGTTTAACATAGTTAATCAATTTAACAGATTTCAAGGCTAAAAGATCATATTATGCATTATCTCCTATAAATATAGGAGAATTTCATCCTGTAGTTCCAGAATTTTGTCCAACACCCACAGAGAACACTTTTTCAGAGGCAAATACTTCAAACTGAGTTCTGAAATTAGTATTAATTATAAAGCCACGTTTTGGCTTTAAAACTTGCTTCCTTAGTCCAGTGCCTACCCCTGAGACAAGATCTTGGTGTTGTATGTGGCTCAGGATGCACATGACCTACAAAGGGTTCACGTCTTTCCAGATTCCAGATTTTGAGTGTGAAACTAAACTGAGAAGGGGATGCAGGGCAAAAATTTCAGAAGAGTGGTTAAAGTTTGGCTCAGGAATCCATTTTCCTCCAAAAAAAGTGAGCAGGGCCCCATGAAGGGAATGAAGAAATCTGGCTTTATCTTCCTGCTAACTCGAATCTCCACCTGACTATTTTATGACTTCAGAACAAGGATTCTCAAACCTTCCAACAACAGGACTGAAAACCTCAGCAGACACGTTTGTTCCATTATGCCCTTTATGGGCTGAATGAAACAGTGGAAGGGCCGGGTATGTGACAGAACAGTAATACTTGGCCTCTTCTTAAAAGCTCTTTTCCTGCACTGTGTCTGTTGGTTCCAGTGGGCTTTCAGCTATTCAAGGTGAGAGTATGCAAACTTCAGACCATAACCACACTTGACTCCCTCTTCTGATAGAATCAGATGGACAGGTAGAACCTGTGTGTTTTCCAGTAGCTTCAGCATTAAAAATATATGGGTGATGTGACAGCAAAGTCAGCTGTCACAGTTCAAACTTTCCTTTGCATTTCTCTGAACTGCAACTGTATCTCCTGATTAGGGGTTCTTTCTACATGACATACAGCTCAGCTGGTGTTTTCACTGCTCAGAAACACCTGCAATAGCTCTGCCCTGGCTTCAGTTACCTGTTCTGAGTGTGTCTGTGCAGCTCTGGCCCAGCCTCCCTGCTGCACACGCAGAGAGACAGATGAGTCTGCTTCTGAGACAGTGGACACTCATTTGTGATCATTAACAAGCAGTCCCCATGAAAGATGACAACTCATGTGTCAGCTGAAACATTTCGCATTAATTGGAGCAAAGTTCCTATCAAATATATTTTGATAATAGCCAATCTCTCAGGGACATTTTGCACCACACAGCGAGAACATGTTTAATGTCTTTCCTTGGAGGCAAGAAAGAGCACCAGAAGGCAAATGCAGCTGCAGCCAGCAAAGAAAGACAAACAGAAAACAGCAGGGAAACCTCTGTATGTGGAGACAAGCAATGAGCCATGGAGCTCGTCAGCTCTGTCAGCAGTGCGGATCCTGGCACAGGTCTGCAGGTTCCAAAGGCTGCTATTTTTCCAGAGTGTGGTAGAGACCCTACAAAGGATCAGTAGGAAGTAAGGGATGAAACTGCCGCTAATAAACTTCTCCATGGACAGCAAGTCAGTACTCAAAGCTGAGATCTGGTGATATTGTGTATGCATACATGAGTGCATGTTCTAATACAAAACTAAAGCAAGGCCATTTGCCTTGATTACTGAGTTTTCCTGGTTTGCTCCTACTGTGTGACTGAGCTTTCCTCACTTAACTTCCATCTTAGGTCTGGCTGTTCCTCAGCTATGGCACTTGGCTGGTTCCCAGACAATGGCAGAATGACTTCCAATACTTATCTCCTGAAGTTCTTAAAAACAGTTGCTTGTAGTAATTTGAAATGGAGAGTTTACAGGAGTACACATGTCTAAACGAGCTCCAGAATACTTAACAATGGCTGTTGTGAGACCTTATGCATTCCTATGCCATTTCAGTCCTTTAAACACCAGCCAACAATTTCAAGAAACAGAGAAGCCAGAGAATCTCTCTGGGTTTCTAACGTGCTTTACATGATGCTTAGACTTTCTCTTCACTTAACTGCTGCTGGATAAGAACAATGTTGAAAAGACATTTAAAATGACAGTCAAGATCTGTAGCTACATTAGTCATTCTGTCAGAACACGGGAAAGAACCTCACTGAAGCCATGCAGGAAAACAATTTGTTGAAGCACCAGCTGAAGCAGTGAGTCGCAACTCACTCAAATCTCTCCAAAGTACACGATCAAGCAAACTGCTGAAGCCCTGAAAGCCACAATTGATTCTGCAAACAGGAGATACGTAAAACAGACCGAACTCGCCTCCAGTCTCTGCTATGTGATAACAATCTGAGTGTCCACCTATTTTATACCTTAAAAGCAGTCAAGTAGGAAAATATAGGATGAGTGATGTTCCCTTAGTGCAGTGACAGAACTACCCATACAAGCTGACAGTACTTTCTATCACCGTGTGTAATTGGTGTTTAGTTCCACTGAATGGAGCCATTCTGGACATGCACTGATCCAACCCAAGTAACTATTTTGTATCATTTTTACCTGAACCTTGAGCAATGCATCCCCAGGCCCAGAAGAGTTAAGCAATTGATGGTCTTACAGATCTTTTTGCCAAAGATAACATCCTTAAGCCTTGAAGTCTACGGGACAGCCATGAGCCTAAAAAAAAGATCCTTACCTGAATAACTGAGGCATCTGAGGAACCCAGACAGATGCCAGAAAATCCAGAGCAGCTCAATTGTAAACTGACTTAAATAAAATCCACTAAGTTCATCCAACCAGGGCATACCTTACAATATAGGGAAAACTTATATAGGACTTTATCCTAACCCCTGTGGTAGCCTAAGGGTACACCACTATCAGCTAATAAAGAGATAAAACATGTCAAATCTTTCTGTTTTTCCCCAAGAGGGTGGTGGAAAAGGGATCAAACTGTTGGTTAGTGATGCTTTTTCAAATCAGGTGTCACCTGTAAGTTCTTGAGAGACAATATGTAGAAAGAGATTTGGACAATCTGGAGCTCAGGAACAATTATCACTAAAGAAAAGAAAGAGTAGAAAATAAAATTTTGGCTTTACTCTAAATATTAAGCATATTACCATGCTTGAAGCACAGTTTATTTTATTAGTTTGGAAATTTAGGGCAGTATATCCATTATTTGAACTTGGATATACTTGAGCTATTGATATACCTGATGTCATGTGATCCTGGATATACTGGATATATTCGGATATATTTGGGTTGATCCTGGGTATAGTTTAGCGCCTTTGTTGGGGTCCCTCCTCGGAGGCACCAGCTCGAGCTGTTTCTGTGTTACCGTGCCTTGAGTAAACTGCTTTACGGAACGAGACATCTGAGACTCTGCTGTGTGAGGAAACCTGAGGTCGAGCCGGTGAGGAAACCTGGTCTAACCGTGCGAGTGGGGTGTGCGGGGGGAGCCAAGGCAGGCGGGGGTACCTCGGGTCACCAGAGCCGCCGCTGTGAAGGGGCTTCGGTCCCAGCGGTGACAGTGTCCGGCGCCGGGAGCGTGGCTCCCACAGCGTCTCGGGGACGGTCAGACCGCTAAGTTTCTTGAACAACCGCGCCGGCACGGCAGGGTTGGCGCTTCTCCCCGGGGGACACCGGGGACGCCTGAA